TTGTTCTGGTGGTACTGGGGATTGAACCCAGGGATTTTGCACTAAGCTACATCCTCAGCCCTTTTTAATTTTTTATTAAAAGACAGGGTCTTGCTAAATTGCAAGGCTTCCTAAGCTACTCAAACACATATGATCATAACTTTCCCAGACTCTTCCTGAGCTTTTTACCTTCCTGTCTCAGCCTCCCAGAGCACTGGGATTATAAATATGTACCACCACACCTGGCCTAATCCCCGTTTTAATTGCTATATTGCAAGTTAACGTGAGGACTGTTAGTTTTGTCTTGATCACAACTGTTTATTGCCTGGCAGTGTGTATTGCCCACAAGAGATACTCAAATATTTGATAATAACATTGTTTCCTTTTCTGTCTGTATTTTTATGAACTCTTCAATTCTTCTGTTTCTACCTTGCATAGTTTTGTCTTTAGTTCCTGGCTGTTTTGGAATTATGCACTGGATATTGTTTGATTCAGTGTCTCTGTAGCCCAAGCTGGCCTTGAACTCACCTTACTATTCTACCTCATACTTCTAAGTATCATCTGACTGAATAATGTTTGTGAAAAATTAACTTGCAGAAATAATGTGGATGATGTCTTGCATACAGTTTTATTTGTTTTCTGCCAGGTACATGGTCAAACTCTAGTATTTAAATACTGTGGTGATTTTAAACTTTTTTCCTCAACTTTTTTATTTTGAACATTTCCAAACTTCAGGTAATTTGAAAGATTTGTATGATGGACCTATGATATCGTCACTAAGACATTAGTGGCTTACCATTCTGTGTGTGCATCAGCAGTTTTTCTTTTACATTTGTAGTGAATTGCATAGACGGGCTTTACCTCTAAACACTTATGAATGTATCTTTGAAGATCTACCTAGGGTTTCACCTTTCATTTGGCAGTTTTTTCTCAATTTTTTCTAATTTAAAATCCCCTTTTGTCCTGTGTGTGTGTGTGTGTGGCTACTTGAGATTGAACTCAGGGGCTCTCTTTACTGGGCTACATACACAAGCCTTTAAAAAAAAATTCTGAGTCTCTTAAATTGCCAGGCTGGACTTGATTTTCCTTTTTTTTTTTTTTTGATCTAGTGATCAAACCCAGAGCCACGAATGCTATACAAACCTTGTATCACTGAGCTACAACGACATCCCCATCCCTTTTTGTTTTGAGATGGCAGCCTGGTCAATTAGCCAGCTGGTCTTGAACTCTAGATCTCCTTGGCCTCTAGGGTAGCTTGGATTTCAGGTGTTCACTGGCATACTTGGCGTAATTTATTTCCAGGCTTCTTTTATTTTGGATGTTACAAAATTATTTTGTAGTTTCTGAATTTAAAAATCTGAATATTATCATATTAGTGTTTGAACTTGTCTGATGACAGTGTCTGTGGCTCATAGATTGTAGCTGTATTCATGATGGAGGAAACTTACTGGCATTTAATGGGGCACTGTCAAGTGAAGGCTTACTGATTAACACTCGGCTTCCATACCCTGATCATTCCTGCTTTATATTTCCTGGGGGAAGTCTTCTGTTAAACTGGTCTCCTTCCAAGCTTTTCTGTGTTACAATCACTTTTACTTAATCTTAAGGTAGTATTTTTCTTTTTGCTTCCTTGTTTATTAAGCTATTTAAAATAATTCTATATCTAGAATACTTAGTTCATTTTAGAGCATAAACTGTGTATTTCCTAAAAATTTTTGATGATTGACCAGTGAAATGATTCTGCTTTGTTTAATGCCTAGTTTCATGAGAAGTGGTAACACTTCAGAGTGAGAAAGAAAAGACACACAGAACACTAATCTCTGAGGTTCAATTTAATGAACATTGAGTGTTGGCCAACAGTTTTTATCAGTTAACTCTGTAAATTACTTAGGAGTAGATGAGATTATGCACTTGGAGGAGAAGAAAGGATAAAAAAAAAAAAAAAATCTGAATTTTCCATCAGCGGCTTGGCTATATTATATTAGGCAAGTGACTAATCTTGAGACTATATGTTGACAGTGCCAAGTGTGCTGCTGGCAAACCTCCTTTCTGTATGGAAGTGCAAGTGTAATATATACCCCCAAACAATCAGCTGTTAGATGCATAGGAAAGATTACCCCATTTTTGGCAGTGTTGTTGATGGAACCTAGGACCTCATGCATGCTCTGCCAGTTCTCTGCCACTGGGCTAAGTCCCCATCCCCAAACTTAAGGATGACTGTGACGATTGAATATAATTAGCTCTCCTTTAATCTGGAACCATTTTGATCATTTTAAGTTACACTTAATCCGGAATGTAAACAAAATATTGAGTAGGTTTATTATTTAAAATGGCACTAGTATTTAGGAAAAGATGCATTTTTAAAAATTTGCAGCAAAGCTTGTACAACATCAATTTGCAGTTGATCAAACTGCATGGTATTCAGATTAAGCAGCTGATAATGTTAGTGGTTTTTAGCTTTTTTGAAATATTTGTACCTTGAGAGAAACTGACCAAGAAAATAGACTTTATCAGGACATTGTACGCATCACTTCTGTAGCTGGTACAGCTGTCATGGAAAGCAAAAGTTTTCCACAAAATTCATCCATTTATAATTAATGGATTCTACAGCTGCTTAAATTTCAGGCTAAGTTTAAAAAGCAGTTTTCCAGGGAATTAAGTACAGCATGTATGTGAACTTGTTTAGTTAACTAGTCCATCTTCCTTACTGCCATCCCTATTTTCTGTGTCCCTCCCTTACTTTCAAAATCCCCTATATTGACACAGTTATTCATCATCTGAAGGACATATCAGGGTAATTTTTTTGTTAACTTGGGAATGGATGAGGTTTTCCTGTGTAGTATATTATGTGGAGCTTTATTTTAATAGTTTGTGAAAACAACTGGTCCTTCTTGTGTTTTCTTTTCTGCATAAGGATTGTTAAACATATTTTAAAAGTTGAAAAGCTTAAATTCTTTACAGTTTTCTGTGTCACATTTACTAAAACTTTTACACCGTGTTTATGCCTGCTCTTGTCCTGTAGGATATTTGGCAGGAGGTAAATTTCGATGACTTTTCTTTTGTTATTTGTACTGGAACATTAATGTTGGTTCCATTAATGTGTGCACCTTGTGATGGCGACATGAATTTTATTTATAAACCATATACATAATCCTTTGTAGCTGCCTTCTTTTTCTTTTTGGAAGCAGTAAGGATATAGTTATGAGAAAGATACTTTCTATCTGGCCACAGCAGACATTTCTATTGTGTGATACTTTAAGGGATTTAATAATTTAAAAAAATATTTTAGGTTGTGGGATGTGCTGCATAACAGATACTTACTTTTTTATTTCAGGTACTTATGGAGTTGTGTATAAGGGCAGACACAAAACTACAGGTCAGGTGGTAGCCATGAAGAAAATCAGACTAGAAAGCGAAGAGGAAGGGGTTCCTAGTACTGCAATTCGGGAAATTTCTCTATTAAAAGAACTTCGTCATCCAAATATAGTCAGGTATGGTATAATTTATGAATTAAGCCATTTTCTACATCCTATTTCAAATATGAATTTCAATCTAGAAAATAATTTCTGGTCTAACCTTGCTGAGTGTAACAGAGTGCTACTCTTTATTGATTGTGAATGCCGGGCATAAGTAAAAGAATAGCCTATTAAAGCAAGAACAGAATCACGGGGCTTCATTGTAAAAATTTGTTTTGGGGGACAGAAGGCAAGTTAATGTGGCTTTATAAAAAGAAGCCTGGAAAGGCTTTGTCAGCTGTCTCCAACTCTGGGGGCTCCATTCCTCACGATCACCCCCTTCTTGAGACAGGTAGCTAACTTCAGATGAACAACAAAAGTTCTTTTTTATTTTAAATGTTTAATTTTTGGAGAAATTGTATTCCTAATGGTTCCCGTTAGGCTGGAGAGGGCAGTGCTTGAGGTTAGATTCTACTTTAAAGTTTATGTCATTTTCTTAATGGAAGGTCAAGCTCTGAGCAATGGGTAGCTAGCTGATCTAGACTCATTATTTTGAAATACAGGTTGTTAATAATAATAAGTATATAATTAAACTTAATTTTAAGTTCTCCAGATACTAATATTTTTTTCTAGTTTGGAAGCTATTATCTATCTCTTTCCCTACTTTTTATAATAATTATTGGTTGCCAGAAGTCATTTTTGTGAAAGGCTGAAAATGCTTGCTGGAATTTTTCTTTCATTTAATTATTTTTATTCTTAAGTCTTCAGGATGTGCTTATGCAGGATTCCAGGTTATATCTTATTTTTGAATTCCTTTCCATGGATCTCAAGAAATACTTGGATTCTATCCCTGCTGGGCAGTTCATGGATTCATCACTTGTTAAGGCAAGAAATATAGAAGTCTTCTCTATACAGAAGCCCTTGAATTTTGTGGGAATATGCTTGGAAAATTTGTTCAAAAATAGAATGAAAGAGTATTTCACCTTCCTCCCACACAGATTAGATTAACATTTACCTATAAGATAGTACTGCTAGCAAGCAAAAAGTAAGGCCTGTGATAAAATAAACCTGAAAATAATACTATGTATTATATTTGGGAATTCTGGTCTTTCTTTGGTTGTCACATAGGTTTAAAATAGCAAAGACTTGCAGCAGGTAGTAATAGTAGATAGCTTTATTTTATTCTCATTTAAAATGTTTTCATGCTGTGTATGTTGTACATGTTTGTAATCGAGGGGTTGAAATTTTGAGGCTGACCTGGGCTATTAATTACATAGTAAGTTCAAGGCTGGCCTACATTACTTAGACATCCTGTTTCTAACAACCCAAAAAAAAAGACATGTTTGGACATTATATTTCACTTAAAAACATAGTTTAAAGAGTGTTAAAAATATGTAGAATTAACAATATTTTATTGTCATACTATAACTGACTGTTCTTTAGAGGTAGCTATTGTTAGTTTTATTTGTAATCTTACAAACCTCTTAAATAAAAGAAATTATATAGAGACTTTATTTATTTATTTATTTATTTGGTATTGGGGATCAAACGCAGGACCTTGTGCTTGCAAGGCAGGCACAGTGCCACTGAGCTAAATCTCCAACCCATAAACTTGCCTTTTTGATGTAAAGTGTTAGCAGATATATACATCTTTCTGTGTCTCTTTGCATTTTTGATAGATTTAAGCCATTTCCATACATAAGGACAGATTTTCTAGCTTGATGATTATTGCTCTTATTAACGATGCTACATAGGCTGGGGATTTAGCTCAGTGGTTCCACCACCTGCCTTGTAAGTGCAAGGATCCAAGTTTGATTCCCTAGTACCAAAAAAAAAATGCTACAAGGAATATCTTTATTTATCTTGTATGCAACTTTATAAGATAAATTTCTATTTGAAAAAAGCATACTGATGTTTTTCATTTGACTCATAACTTTTTTGTTATTGTTTAGTCACTTGTAAATAGCAAATATCTACTCACTGGTTTTAATAGTTTCTTTTGTTGCCTTTCCTTTTTATCTTTGCCTTATTAGTTGTATATACTGTTAATAAGTTTTCTAATATATGTAAAAAGGCCTTGTCTGGCTTTTAGTTTCAGTTTTATGTCTTGTTTAAGCTTTCCTCACTTGAAGATCATATATATTAGAAGAGTAAATGACATTATTTCTCTAGTACTATTAGGCCCTTTCACCACACACACACACCCACCCCCATACCTTTTTTGTTTTCATTCTGGACAGATGATTTACTTTGGGTTAAGAAGTAGGTATAAATCCAACTTTATTCCCAAATAGCCAGTTGTTCTAACTTCAGTGTTTCCAAAGAGGAAATGTACGTATAAAAAGGGGTAGAAATGAAAAAGACTGACTTCAGTGAGTTTAAAAATACAGCTGGTATAAGCATTTAGAAGAAAAATTAAGAGAATTCTACATAGAGATTTCTATCTGAGATGAGATATAAGGACAGGGTCCAAAAATGAGTCAAAGTGGATTAAATGAGTTCATGTGGATACAGGTATGTTCATAGGTGAATATCTTTCTCTTGGTTATACAAGCATACTGTATGCTTGTTAGTTTAAGATGCCCTAAATGCCTTTCTGGTAAATATTTCCCTTCATCATTCATGTCTTATGTCTTTGAAAGAAACAGAGTAAAGACTAGTTAGAACATCATTTGTGGTACAATTAAGTTTCTTATATTTCCTTTTTCCAGAGTTATCTGTACCAGATCCTTCAGGGTATTGTCTTTTGTCACTCTAGAAGAGTTCTTCACAGAGATTTAAAACCTCAAAATCTGTTGATTGATGACAAAGGAACAATTAAACTGGCCGACTTTGGCCTAGCAAGAGCTTTTGGGATACCTATTAGAGTATATACACATGAGGTAAGTAGAATAGTGTTTTGGGTGTTTGGAACAGTATTATTTCCTGTATTATGTTAAGAAAAAAATAATAAGTTTTCTACTCTTGACAGTACTGATTTAGTGCTTCTCGGCTCCAAGTTCACCCTTTATTACATGCTATATGAAAATGGAACTGAAACTGAAGCATTTCCCCTTTGGCAACTGTGTTCTAAGATTTGTCACTAGAGGGTACTGGAGAGGCATTTAGAATTGTCATTATTTTTTAATCTTATTTATTTGAATTTCCTATTACAGTTTAATTCTTTAAACTTTTCCCATTCAAATCACTGGTTTCTGTCTTCAGGTTGGACCTTGCACAATCATACTGATTGCAAGATAGATTTTGTTGCTTAAAGGGTACTATTTCTGATTCATGTTAAATGTAGAAGTCATTCCATATAGTCTTTATATAATTTGGGGGGGGCTGTATGTGGGTGGTTCCTGGTATTTAAACTAGTCCCTTGTATAGGCTGTTACTTTTCTCATCTGGGTTTTCTTGTCCTCATTAGCTCTGCCGCAAGTTAGAGGTGATAGGACTAGATCACTGGAACTTACTTGGTTAGTTGTACTTTTTTATTTGTGTTAACATGATAATCTTAATTGTCATTTTGGCATGTAAGCAGTACCTGCCATTTGTACAGTATCTTCAAGCCCTAAACCTATTATTAATAGTTTTTTGTTTAGGAAAAGATTACAATCCATAACTGTTTTGATCTTTTTGCTTTTGGTATTGGAAGAGCAGGGTGCCTCTTCCTCACCAGGAACAGAACTCAGAAATGAAATATTTAATATTTTATATATAGTTGATTTATTTAAGCAGTATTATTGCTGACCACTGTATAGCTTTCTAAAGGACAGTCCTCATGAAATATAAATATTTAACTTTAATGTAGTGCATATTTACTCACTGTAAAATTTGCTTTGTAATAGGTAGTAACACTCTGGTATAGATCTCCAGAGGTATTGCTGGGGTCGGCTCGCTACTCTACTCCAGTTGACATCTGGAGTATAGGCACCATTTTTGCAGAATTGGCAACTAAGAAACCACTTTTCCATGGGGATTCAGAAATTGATCAGCTCTTCAGGATTTTTAGGTACTGTTGTTTTAAACCAAAGCTGTTAAAATCTTTTGCAATAAATAATAAAGTTGACATAAATGTAACAAGATACTTTTGTTTTAACTAATAGTTTCTGGTTCTGTTATTGTTTTTAGAGCTCTAGGCACTCCCAACAATGAGGTATGGCCAGAAGTGGAATCTTTACAGGACTATAAGAATACATTTCCCAAGTGGAAACCAGGAAGCCTAGCATCCCATGTCAAAAACTTGGATGAAAATGGCTTGGATTTGCTCTCTGTAAGTAAGACTTTTACATTTTAAGCAAAATATACTTCTATACTTTACTGACTTTAATATTATTGATGGCTCTAAGCATATTCATATTCAGTCTTATCTTTTCCCTAGGAGGGAGAAAGAAAACTGATGTGTTTTGAGCTAAATTTTCCCCCCTGTGCTTTTGGAGTACTGGGGATTGAACCAAGGGGCCTCATGAGCGTGAGCCAAGTACTTTACCACTGAGTTAACGTCCCATTCCCAGCTGTGTTTTGATTTTCATCTGATATACTCTGAAAGAGATGCCTGGGATTATATACTTTTTGTTATATTTAATGTGTTTTTCATTATGGTTCTGGAGTTTTAACCCAGGGTCTAAGTATGTCCTCACCCTTGAGCTATATCCTTGTTCTTTTCAAATTTAGTGTAATTGCCTTCCTTTCTAGCTTTTTGTCTGAATTACTGAGCTTCTTTTTTAGTTTATCCTAGAAATGTTTTCTTTTTTGCTTGGTATCTTTAGTTAATTAAAAAACTTTTTCACTTTATGTCCCATTTTCTCCATCAGAAAGTTTAGGACTGCTAATGCAGTTCTTTTTTTTTTGTTTGTTTGTTTTTTGTACCCGGGTTCGAACTGGGGTCCTTGTGCTTGTGAGGCAGGTGGCGGCACCACTGAGCTAAATCCCCAGCCCCACTACTAATGTAGTTCTTAATCTTTTTCCTCTATTACATTGCTACTACCAATTAACAATTGTTTCACTTAAAACCAAGATTAAAGAATAAATTAACCACTGGGAAGGAAAAGCTTGCTTTAAAAGGTTTACTTTAGAACAATATTTAAATTTTTAACTTTTAGAGGAACAATTTTTGTAAATTTCAAATAACTTAATGCCAGATAAAAAGAAAGCCTGAGCAGAGCTAAGCAAAAAGAAAAAAATTATCCGTAAGAAAAGAATTCCATTGCTGTTTAATCAAATATTTTCAAATTGATCTTTGAACTCCTTTCAGAATCATTGTTTCACCAAATTAAGCTCAGATTTTCCATTTGCTTAAAGTGAAGTCCAAAGTCCTTTACTTATGCATACATCAGTTTTCCTGTCACTGGGATAAAATACTGAACACCCACAATTTAAAAGAGGAAAAGTTTATTTTGACACACAGATTCCTTGGGTTCTGTCCATGTTTTGCCAACTCCAAGGCAGAAATACCATGGTGAAGGGGAGTGGTGCTTACATCGTGGTAGCCAGGAAGCAGAGAAAACATTAGTCCACTCATTGGTCGATTAACACACAGTAAAGCAACCCCATAATCCAATGACCTTTCAGAAGCCACACCTCTGTGTACATGGACTTTTGGGAGACATTTTAGATCTAAACCATAAATTTATTTTGTGTTATCAATGTAGTTGACTATCTTAAAAGACCTTTTCACATTCTAGGCCCAATCAGCTTTTAACTTCTAAACTTCTCAAACAAAAATTTTACTGCGGTTAATGGAAGAAAAACTAAGTATCATAAATCACATTATTCTAGCCACATTAGTCTAGCCACGGTAGACATGGACTAGATCATTCTTTAGACTGTCTTGGACCTTGTAGCATAACTCATTAGTTTTTTGAAATTGGATAGGTTGCTTATCCTCTTTGAGCTTTGGTGTCCACATCTGAAAGCATTCAGAGCTGGATACGTAGAGCTCCATTGGTAACTAGTTAGTATCTAATCTGTTCATCCATTTGATCTAATTTAAGGTTAATACTTTTTAGATAAATAACCAAACTTTATTTAGCTTTTTAAATATAAGTTGGTTAGTGTTAATTCACTTAGTGATCCATTTGAGTAATACATTGTTGTATGGGTTTTTTTTTTTTCTTTTGTTTATTTTGAAGCTTAAAAGCTGTCAAAAACCACAATAGTTAACTGCCACCATTTCACGAATGTTGTAAATAACTTGGATGGACCATTTAATTCTTAAATATGATTAAGCTAGATACCTTTCTTAAATGTATGCCTTGGTTTTAAAGCTAGCTCTGAATGCTTTAAAGCTAGCTCTGAATCTTGTCTTTGATTTATAACAAGATTATGAAGATCTTTATGAGTAAAGGAGCAGATTATTCTGGAGCTAGAGATGTGAAAGAATGAGACATCTCTGTATTTTCTGTTAAAATAATGGAAATGTTCATTACATAGATTTTACTAAATTTATCCAGATTTCTTATTGATTTAAAAATTAAGGCTTTGAAGAAAAAATTTTTTTTCTTTTTCTAAGTAAGTATCTTTTTTCTTTTTTTCCCTAGAAAATGTTAGTCTATGATCCTGCTAAACGAATTTCTGGCAAAATGGCACTGAATCATCCATATTTTAATGATTTGGACAATCAGATTAAGAAGATGTAGCTTTCTGATAAAAAGTTTCCATACATTATAATCCAGGATTAATAGTTGTATTTTTACTGTTGATTCTATTTTTGTCTTCTGTATTTTTCTTCTTTGTTGTAAAACTGAAACTGTACTTCACCTTCTAATTTCAAGAATATAACTTAAAAATGTAAATATTGTTCTATATAAATTTAAATATAACTGTATATGTGTAGATCTCACTGACAATATTTGTTACTATAATAAAACTATAAATTGAATATTGGTGTCAGGCATTGGGGAAATTTTGAGCTAATTTAAATCATCTCAGTCTATAGGAATTATATTTTCCTGTAGTTGGAACTACTGAAATTTAGGTAAGTGTACTAATTTCAAGTTTTGTACTTTGAAGTATTTTTATCCTCTGAATGTTTACATTTTCTGGTCTGTTTCTTGCTATGTGGTAACTTATTCAGCCTGCTTGAAGATGAATATTTTTTAACTGGTATTTCAATTTGTGACCTAAATGTTTAAGCATTCAGGATCAGAGTGCTATACAGATCTGAGAAATGATGCTAAATTTATAGGGGTTTTCAGTAACTTATAAAACTAACATTAGTGCATGCCAAAGTTTGCTAAGTTTTACAGTCTAAGATCAAGGGCTGTCCACAGCAGGGAAGAACAGTTTTGAAAATTTATGAACCATCCTATTTTTAGGTATATTATGAAAGCTGTTTGTCTAAGTAAATTCTTATGCTTTGGCCAGAAGTAATAACTATGACAGAGATGCTTATCTTGGCTTTTGGGTCTGACTTTGCTTACAGATTTTGACAATGTGGTTTATTAGCAGCCTTCTACAAAAATTCTCATATACAAGTATTTAGCTAAAATCATGAGCTCTGAGAATTGTTTAATTGTAATTCTAACCTATGAGCACCCTGGCTTAAATTATTTGCTACAGCCAAGAAAAATGTGTATAAAAATAGTTTCATTACTGTTTTAGGATATATCTATTGTTTTACTGACCAAAAAACTTATTTTCCTGGTTACCTATGGCTTGAACCTGCCTTGCTGTTATTGGTTCTTATACTAGTTTGATTGAATGTGTAATAAGTGATCTATCTTACCCTTGTCTTAAAATTTTTGTACTTGTAGTTGAAAGGGTGGGTCACTTTCTTTGGTAATGAGACAGTTTGGCCGTTGATTACCTTGTTCTAGGAATTAGGGGAAGCCACCTTGGTGTAAAAGAATGCAGAGCCTGCAGATGAAAATCATTCAGGGTCATTAGAGTTGTTAAGGTAGGAATTTGGGAAATGAAAAAGTCATACAAAAGATTTCAGATCGTGCAGTAGCAGGCATATCTACATGCTTGTGTTTCCTTAGAAGTGAGATATTTAACTAAAACTTTTTCAGACTGTAACTCTTCAGTGGTTCAGGATTAACATTAAACCACTAGAGTAGAATATGTCGTGTCTTTTATATACTCTTGTTTCAGTAACTCAAATAGATAAACAGATGTTTGGGGCCTTAAATATATGGCAGAGGGAGCTTCTCAGTTGAGTCTGCTTGTCCAAAAAGTCAGTAAGGCCTCCATATAGAACTACTTTGGTGGACCAAGGCAAGGAGATAAAGATGGTAGAACACTAGCATTGCTGTAACATTTCACCTACTTTTGATCAAGCTCCAAATATTTGTGTAGTTCTGTAAAGTATGTCAATTTCAATGACTTGGTAAAAAGCTACTGCATCAGATACCTTGTGCATATTTTTAAATAAATTTGTGCTCTGGGGCCTCTGATTAATTTTAAAATGACTAGGCCATTGGTTTTTAAATCTAAAGTGTCCTGGAAACACCTGAGAGCTAACTTCTGGCACTACCCTAAATAATTCTGATTGGAAATTGGGAAGTACGCCCCAGGAATATTTTTATTTACTTGTTTATTTGTTTTATTATTTGCAACAGCAGGGATCAAACTCGGCCTTGCGCTTATGAGGCAGGCATGGAACCACTGAGCCTAAATCCCTGTCCCCTGTGAATATTTTTTTTTTTTTAAGCTTCTCAGTTGATTATAATGGAGCTTATCATCAGTTGGTGGTGAGTTTGGTGACTTTGGACATATATCTCATTTTTGTCTTAAAACCCCATAGCATCATGCAGTATTTTAATTCTGTGTTAGTCTGTATTCAGAGGGAGGAGGAGTGGGCTATGTATTATATATAGTCATCAGTGTGACACCTTTCTGTTCTTGAGCACAGCACTGTAACTACTGAAAATCTTAAATGATGCCTATCCTTTTTTGTTTTTTCTTTTTAAAAATTTAAATACATTAGTAAAGATGAAAAGCAGTTAGTATAAAATATACAATAAAATATTACTATATGTATGAGCATATACTTGTAAATTAAAAGTTTTAAAATGTATTTTGGAAGAGTCGATAAAATAACCTAATAAAAGTTCTGAGGATTTAGATTAAAAGCTAAAATAAGTTTTAATTAGTTAAATGTTTTAAAGTGCTTCAAGGGACTTGGAAGCTCTTGAAAAGAAGAAACATTTGTTATTTAGCAAGATAAGAGTTCATAATAGGTCTATTTCAAATTACGTTTAAATAGTTGCTATATTCAAACTGAACTCAGTGAGTTTTCATAGGTAGAATTCTTTTGTATTATAAACAGATTAATAAAAATCCCTGCTTCAGTGTAGAGCAAGCTCTCAAAGGTAAGATGCGGCATTCAGTTTGTCTGGTTTTCCTACCCACTTAGGAAACAGTATTCCCATGTATTTGGGGAACTCTGCTGTTGCATGTGATCCTTAAAGGGTCCTTAGTTCTGGCTCTCTACTTGTTCAGTCACCGTATACTGTAACCCAGCAGTAAGAACTGATGCATGGGGTAGGCAAATGAACTCACAAGTCCCATGAGGGTCCTGCTGACATTAAGCTGGGGTGATGACGCAGCCTGAGCTACATCTCCACTCGAGCTGACTGAGATTTCTGGGGTACGGTATCCCTGGGATCCCGGCTCCTGTATGACTGCTTTTACAATTTGTGAGCCACCTGACATACCCTTCTTTGGTGCATGAGTGTGTGTGTGTGTGTGTGTGTGTGTGTGTGTGTTTATATATCCCCCTTTAACCTACTTTAAGTTGGGTTTCTGTCATTTAAACCTTAAAAGAGTCCCAATTGATTGCAGCTGTTTAGAACCAGAACAGTAATTGGATAATTTTTAAAACCCTCAATTTTATTTATAAATGCATTCATAATTATATTAATTTCCTCCTTTAAAATCTATTTAAAATTGCCTATAATTGTTAATTTTACTGCAGCTAGTAATATTAGTGTGTATAATGGTATTAATATAAATATATTATGCGCCTATTGAACTTTCAAAGGACTTAAACTTTGAAGAGATGTTTATACTGTATGTGGCACCTACTTTTTACTAGTCAGGAGTAGAAATCTGTAATAGACGCTTTTCTACAGGTCATCATTCTTTCCCTTGAGAAATGATTTCAAGCCATGCTATGCTTTTCTGTTAAGGAAATAATGCAGTAAAGAAAGCAGAATGTACTTGGAGAATTTATTAGCTAATGATTATTAGTAGTTCTTTATATTTGAAAGGAGCTTTATAGTAATTAAATAGCATATGCTGTTTCAATATAAGTTTCCTATACTACAAAAATGCTGTAAACTATAAAATCACAAGAATGATTATATCCTAATGCATTCTTTACAAAAGGAAAGATACATTTCCCAGCCGAACATAGCCATTCGTCTCAATTGTTCTGGTGTCATGACAAATGTATTTATGTGCAAGAAAATATAAATGTGTTCCCTACTTCTAGGATCCAAAAGGGAAGCAGCATTTGCTTCATTTTTAAAGCTTGCTAAAATCTGAGCCATTCTAGAAATACTCTGGCTTTTGGTTTAAAATACTCATGCACAAGCACTAATGGAAGAAACTCAGAACGTAAAAAGATCAGTTTTCCAAATGAACACAAGATGCTACATTTTTGACTCGTCAACATCAATTTGAAGCCCCATGAACTGGATGAAAAGTGCAGTCTTTAGGTCTTAATTTCCCTTACTAACTGGGCCATGGTAATATGGATAGAAATGCCTCATGTCTCTTTGGCATTCACTGTGTACTCCACATGCATTTGGCAATAAATCATTCCTAGTTGGTGAAATGATAAAACTTTAGAATTTTATGTATGTTGGGCATCATTTAATTATATTTCACCAATGAGGGGACTGCAGGTTTCAACAGATTGAGAAATAATAGAACTGAATTTACTGGCTTACAAAATAATTGTTTTAGATCTGCTCTAATAATGAAGTTGGAGTCAATAGTAGAGTCAAGAAAGAAATTATGTATTTCCAGAATAAAATAGGAAAGAATTCAGACATTGAATGAAGAGAAATTACAGATCATCTGAGAAAATTGCATAAGATGGGTTTTCAGTTCTTACAAATAAGTGAAAAGACCAACAACAGTAGCTAGAGTCCAAGCTCACTGTTACATAGGTATTGAGTGAATTCTCTACACGGACAAGTTTTCATTTTCTGTTTTAAATAGCTATATCCCAAGCAGTGACAAACTATCCAGCTGCAGTTTAATTATAGGAATTTATCAGACATTAAGAAACATTGGGATAGTTAATAGTATTATTTCATCAGAAGGTCTATGGCCCAGAAATACCTAACATAAAGTAAAAAGCAATGAGCGCAACCTTTTTCAAGAGAAATACCTCATGTTCCCATGTTTGGAATACATCCTAGCATGGCCGGAAGGCAAAGGAATAAACAGTAATTCAAGAGTGCTTAATGGCATAAAATAAAAGGATTGTTCACAAACAGAAAACTGGACTTAAGCAGATGTTTATTTAAATACAAACAGCAGCTCCTGTTTTTCCTGTTATCTCCAATTATATGACGCAACATTTTTACCAGAAGAAGTACTTTTTAAAAACAGCCTGTCAGGGAGTGAATAAACAACACTATTTGGCTAACAGCTGTTTTGGGGAAATGAGATGTCGGCAAAGCTGAATGTTGTTTAAAGAAAACTAATTATCCA